GAGCTATTTTTGACCCTTGTTTGGTTCATATCTCTGTCAAACATCAGTGTATCGAGCTGAAAATTTTACCACAGCCTCCCCACTTTAGCCCCAACATATGCTCCAAATTTCAGCCCATTTGAACGTACTTGGGCTGAGATCGATTTTTGAGTGGGGGGGGCCTTAAAGTGAAATCTTTTTTTTTTCTACGATATAAATTGTTCAACAGGACCTAACTATTGACAAAAATATAAATCGTACAAATAATCTATCATAGTCAAGACTAACATTCACTAAAATTTTTGGTTCAAATCGGATGAAAAATAAAAAAAAGAACTCTAGTTATTAGGACATGACTCTCTTAAGATTCCTTTCAGCTATTAAAAATTTTCCTTTCCTAACAATCGCCAAATAAGTCATTTTTTTCTATAAGAAAAAAAGTGAAATGACAGACTATCAGAATCCAAAAGATTAGTCTAGAAGAGAGCTGCCACGTCGCCAGATCAGGTGGAGTTTTGAGACTTTAGTCTGGTTATGATTTAATATTAATTTTTCTGCTACAGAACAAAAGACCTATGATAAAATGGTACTAAATAGTGGTCAAAAAGTTTCGACTCCTCTTAGTAAATCGATGGTATTTAGGACAAACTTATGTATAGATAATTGATCGAACTATGTGTGTTTATAGCGAAAAAGTAGAACTATCTTCTGAAAATAAGATACTTCGAAACGCTTAAATGTAAAATAATGTTATGGTCATTTTATTCATCTTGAGTAAATATTTTCATCTTACATTTTTTGAAAATATATAAAAAATGTTGTTCGAAAAAAAAATGTAAGATGAAAATATTTACTCAAGATGAATAAAATGACCATAACGTTGTCTTACATTAAAGCATTACGAAGTATCTTGTTTTCAGAAGATAGCATTATTTTTTCTCTACAAAAGCACATAGTTCGATCAATTATCTATATATAAGTTTATCTTAAATACCATCGATTTACTAAGAGTCGAAACTTTTTGACCATCCTTTGACTTTTGACCATTTTTTACATAAATTGTAGACTTTTAAAAAATGAAAAAGATCTATTAGAGTGAAAGATGATAGCTATAAATGACTATTTCAATAGAATAAAACAAAGTTATTGTTCAGTTCAAGATAACTCTTTTTTTTCATAATCTATATGTACTCGAGAATTTGAATACAGCAATATCGCATGACAGCAGTTGTGCTTTATCGTCTTCTTCGGCTTCATCTATTCAGAAACTAGGTCTATATGTTTTCCATTCGTAGGGATGGGACTTTCACTTTCTTTCAAAAAAGGAAAGGAAAGTAAAAACTCCTTTTTCAAAAGAAAGTTGAATTAATTATTTTATTTTGGAAAAAGTGAGCATATTCGGGATCAGCATTAAATCTTGAGTAAAACTATGGAGTAAAGCTAGGTACTTCTCTCCTGTCGAGAATGACTTTCATTTTTCTCCTGTTGTTGTGCAACATATGGGAGACTCAAGACCATCCAAAAAATTCCTTTATCAATTCTATGGAATCACAGTTCATTAGACGCAGAATTTAATGCTGACTCCGAATGTGTTCTTTTTTTTCAAAAAGAAAATAAATAATTGCACTTTTTTTTTGGGAAAGGAAAGGGTTTTTTTCCTTTCCTTTCTGAAAGTAAAAAGAAAGTGACAGTCCCACTCCTATCTATTCGCTTCTTCTATGGAATCATTATTGTATTCTACTAAATAGATAAATTTATTAAAACATGAAAAAAAAACCTACTATGATATCTTTGGTAATAAAGCATCATCAGCTATTGATTCGTATTGATAAATTGTTAGTTTTGAAAGAGCTTTAAATTGCAGAGGAACAGAATTTGATAGGCTCGAGAAATTAGAAACAGTAGTCGGCCTTGTCTACAGGCTAGATCAGGGCAGAAAAATGTGGCCTGTTGATAGTTCTGGTATAGGACACGTGAAAAGAATTTTGTAATTTTACATAGGAGTAGCAATTCGTTTGGGAAGATTTACATATGAAAAATCTATTTTTCTCATATTAAACAATGATTACACTAGGTTTCATTTATTTTACCTTATCATACCAATTGACAATAGTTGACGAGAACTTTTTAATCTTCATATGATATAATTGTTCTTGGGCTAATGAATCTCCAATTACAACTGAAAGAATTTCAAGAGAAGGTACATGTTCAATAATATGTTCAATAAAATAACCATAAATAACATGAATGTGTAAACGACGAAGACTCATACAATTAGTAACAAGTTGATTGTCGATTTGATTTGAATAAATATCAGAAGATGATGATGAAAGACATTTATGTATTTGAAAAACATCATTGTCTTGTGAAATATCAAGTTGAAGCGAGGTTAATTGACATTTAGATGAAAAAAGTTGACGTATGAATTCTTGATACATGACTCTCAATTTTTGAACTATGTCATTAAAAAAAACAAAGAACAAATCTTTAGTATTTTTTTTTTCAACGACAAAATCTACGAGTTTCATTTGTTTTCAATTCTTAACTTCTAAGACTTTTTATGATAAAATGAATTGTTTGACGAAAAATTTCAATTTACCTTGATCACGAGCATTCTTGCCAGAATCGTATTCATAGTAAAACATTTCAAGACTATCTTCATCAATTGTTAAAATTAATTCATCTAATTGATATTGAACAAGTAAAGATAAATTATTAATTAAGATTTCTGATAGATAACATCGAGTTAGAATAAGTGATTTCAAATTAATAAAACAAATAAGATTTTCTTGAAAAATCCATTCAGATATAAGATAAAAAAAAACTGATTTTGCTCCATCAATATAAATTCGTTGTATAGAAATAGAAAGAGTTGAATTAGAAATTATTGACAATAATATTGATTGATATTTATTTAAAGATAAATCTGTTTCACTAATAATAATTCCACTTTTATTTCTACCATAATTTATTGAAAATATTGAACAAACAAGAGAATTAAATCGTTTATTAATTGACCAAAATGATTCTATCATTTCAAACCATGTTAAATTCGATAATATATTAAGAAGAATTTCATTTGCCAGACTTTCTAATGTATTTATCATTTTATTCTAAACAAACAAAACTCTTCTTAACTCATACAAAATACATTGTTATTAATACACATATACAAATTCAACTATCCATCTAATAATGACGTCGTCAGGAACTTGAGCCTTTTTTTTTTCAAGCAAAGCTAAACCGTTCGTTGAAGAGCTAAGTTCTTTTTCCATAGACTATCAGTTACCATTCATCTATCTTTCTTTGTCGCTTTCTTTAGTTAATAATTATTTTTAGAAATCAAGTTTTTGAAAAAATGAATGATCAAATCTGATCAAACTATTTTTTTATTTCAAATTCGTAGAGGAAATTGACTTCATTATTAATAATGTAAATATATCGAAAAGAAAACCTAATGAAATGAAATTCCACTTTTCTTAACAAATCAATCGAACATTAAAAAATCTCGTTGAATAAAAGTTTACTCTAATTTAGAGTTTTAAAACAAAACAAAAAGCTTGGTTATATATTCAATTGTTGAATCTTCTTTCGATAAGTCTGTTAAAATTAGACTGTTTCCTACAAACTCATGTGTATTGTGAATAGACTTCTGCAAAATGGTCACGGTCACGGTCACGGTCACGGTCACGGTCACGGCCTCTCGTGACTAGTTTTCGAAAAATTGTCGTGACTGGGATCGTGACCGTGACCAAATAGCTCGTGACCGTGACCAAATAGCTCATGATCGTGACCAAATAGCTCGTGATCGTGACTTAATGGTGAAAAATTTTGAGATTAGAAATCTAATTTTTGTGAAAAAAAATCAAGATTTTAATTGATTTACGTGTTTTCTGCGTTTTTTACAGAGAAAATATGTGAAATCAATATAAATCTTGATTTTGTAGCACAAAAATCCAGCTAGTAATCCAAAATTTTCGTGACCGTGACGTGACCGTGACTAGTTTCGAAAAATTTTCGTGACTATGACCGTGATCGTGACCAGGCAGCTCGTGACCGTGACGTGATCGTGACTAGTTTCAAAAAAACTCCGTGACTATGAACGTGACCGTGACCAGGCAGCTCGTGACCGTGACGTGACGTGACTGAAAAAACGTGGTCACGCAGAGGTCTAATTGTGAAAGATAAAGTTTTGGCATATTTTTCTATGACAAAAAGTCAAATCTGATAATTTATCGAACTATTCGATTTTTTTAATTGACCTACTCAATGTGTTGAATGAAAGAAGAAAAATTTGCTACAATAACTAAAAGACTGAATAGTAAACCTATTGTTGCTAGGAATCTGAAAAATGATATTTTTCACACCAAGTATCAATTCAAACTTTTCTTTAGTTTCGATCTTGATTAGAGCTAATAAAATGTACCATTTTCACATATATAAAAACGTAAAATTGATTCTTTTCTGAAATGAAACACATCCTACATATATATCGGCTGGTCCAATACTGCTTGAGGATGAAAGAAATAAATTTCTATGATATGAATAACTAAGACTTCTATTTTTAGGATTAGTTTCGAATCTTTTTTTGGAAGATTAAGACGAAGTTTTACGGGTTTTTTTTCTACTGTCAACGAATAGCAAAGTTTTCTCAAATATCCATAAGTAAAACAATAAAACTAAACAATTGACACTAAAAACCTAGCAGAACAATGATAAAAACTTGTACATATAAGTGAGTATCTAACCTACTGTCGAATCAAATCTATGTATATTATGTTTTTTCCTACTCGAGAAACCATTAAAATTTTCAAAAACGTCGATTTTTACAAATACTTAATAAAATTTGATCACCACCAGTATGAATAAGTTTTAGTCTCGGCAGGATCACAACCACTTTGAAGATTCCTAACTGTTGCACGCCATGTAATCAACCGCCTTCACAAATATCAAAAGTGGACAAGTATCTTCTTTAGACTGGTAAGCAACTAGAAACTTTCTCGAGTACGAGTATTGGCCCATCATTTCAGTACAAATACAAATACTATTCATTAGCGGATGAGTAGTACTAGACAGCTGCAGATCCTTCCAACCGTGGTCACCCTAAGGTGCGGATCCAAAGTCTTATTTTTTTTTTGTCTCTGATTGGAGATCGGCTTCAGCTGTAGAAATATAGCTTCTATCGAGTTTCTATCAACAGATAACTCGTACCAGATATTGTTTTACCTGTTTGAGAATTTTTTCATAAGATAAAAAAAAAAATAACAATATATTGATGCAATGATATAATAATCAATATTCAACACATAAGATATAGTTGTCTCTTTATAATGAACGAGAAAAAAAAAAGACGAGTGCGTCTTTCTTTCTTTTTCTTCGAGAATGAACAAATTTGACGAAATCAAACACTACACGGCGAATATAATCAAATATTAGACGAACACGTCTATTTTTCTCTAACAATATTTTTTTCTTTCAATTTGAGGTATACGAGAAATTGTGTTTTCTTTTTTGCGGCCGATAATCAAATCAATGAGTAGATCGACAATGAGAGTGAGAGCGGAAGTTTTCATCAAAATTGAGAATGAACTAAAGGAAATATAATGATGGATAAGATGGCCATACAAAATAACTTATTAGAAAAGATGACAGGAACTGTCATCTCATTTGCTTCTTGGCCCAATATAAATCAATTTAACAAGTGATAATGAGTTGTTTCAAATGAATATTATTCATAAACATAAAGTTGTTTGTTGAGAGAAATTCATATAATGGAAGCTGCACTCAATTGTTGATTATGATGATAATCGACCTGCTTCTAATTGGATATGACGATACGATAGAATAAAAATCTCATTTAATAGAAAGATTAATTGATATTTTGAATAATGTTTCAAAATTTTATTTTATTTTAGTTTTTATTACTAATTTATCGATTTAATTTTGATACTTTGTCTGATGAGTAATAAATTATTTTGTACGTATGAAGTTTCAGCATATTAAATTTATTATTTTTTATCGAACACAAAAGTTGATTATTTAATAAATCAATTTGTTTCTTTTTTGCTAATTCATCGCTATGTTATTACGAATAACATTGTCATGAAATTTATCTTTCAAATATTTTATGTATACTGTACAGAGGTGAGCACAGGACAGGATGGTACGGTCGTCCTGCTGCTCTATGCTGTCCTGCAGATCAGGACAGGGTGTGGGTGTGGATATGAGTGGGTTGGATGTGCGTGATGTGCGTGTGGGTGTGGGTGGGTGTAGGTGTGGGTGCCCAGGTCGAAATAGCTATGTCGGATCCTGTCGGATAGGTTTCAAATCCGTTGAGATACGGCTAATCGCATTCGGTCGGTTACTTTTTGTCGGATTCCGATGCTATCTACTGTTTTCCTTTGATATCCGCCGGTCGGATTCATCGAGTTCCCACTAGATTCATACATTCGGAACTGGTCAGATCCGATCTCAAGATCTGTTCGCTTCCGATGGGATTCCGGGGAATCTGATGTCAAGAAATCGCCGAATTTTGCGGTTTCAAATGACACCGGATTCCATGATAAAACCGATCAATCACTGGTATCGGAACTTGTTGGATTATATAAGAATGCAGAATACCCAGGCCGATCTCACACAATCGGATCCGATGGAAATTAGTCGGATGTTGGAAAGTGTCGGATTTTCAGAGTTCCGACAAGAGCCCGGCCACTTCCGACACTTTCCGACATCCGACAACTTCCTGTCGGAATCCGATACCAAAGATTCCGACGAAGTGCCATCGGATTCGATAAGATTCGATAATTTTTCCGATAGGATCCGACGAGATCCGACTGTCGGATTGTTCGTTCTGGGTATCCAGTATTATTTCCCACATAGTCGGATTCATGAATTAGAATATATTCTGACAGATCAATCAGCTAATCAT